GGAGTGTCTGTTTTCATGGAGAAAATGTTTCCTATACCAAAATTGAGTGGTCTTACGGGTAACATCCTAAATATTACACACACAAAAATTAATTATTATTTCAAAAAAAATAATATAATAATATTTTATTATTATAAAATAATAATATTTTATTTTAAAAAAAAAAAAGAGGGGGAAGGGACAACACGTTTGGCTTTCGTGGAAAGCTGAACGTGTATTTAAGAGGAAGAGGAATTTTGGGGGGAAAGCTTTTGACTGAAGGAAGAAAAATATGGAGAGAGCATTAATGAATGAAGAAAAATTGAGGAAGGACGGTGGAATTTGAAGCATAAAAAGAGAGAGTGATCGCAGAGAATGGAAAGAAAGAGTGAGAGGCACAGAAGGAGAGACCGAGAGCAAAGAAGAGAAGTGTTAGCAGTTTGAAGAGTAATACAAGTTTTGGGGATCATATAGGGACATAAAACACTTCTTTCTATTAAATTTTTCTCTATGAATATTTCCTATATATTTAGAGCTTTATATTAGTAGTATTACTACAACATTTAGAGAAAATTTTGTGAGTTGGGTACAGATTAAGTAATAATTTTTAACAATATATGACCGTAAAAATTTAGAGATAAATAAGTAGTTAATTTTAACCGGTTTAGATTTGTCTATTTATTACCTATGGTATTTAAAATCAAATTTATGTTATTGAAAAATCTGTTATTTATTATATATATCATATTTATACCGATTAAAACTAAGTTAAATAATTTATTTGGGTTGTTTGATATATTATTAAAATTTTAATCGGTTTATATTTATTTATTGATTGTTTTGAGAATTTTAAACTAAGATTTTAGTTGGAAAATGTATTATTCAAGATATGTTGAATGTTTTTACCGATTAAATTTAAGTAACTTATTTGGATTACTTAATTTATTATTGATATTTTAATTGGGTTAAAATGTAAAATAGGTTGAGAATATATTATTAGACAAATTTTAAAGCTAGAAACTTAAGTTATAAATTGAGATTTTTACAGTATTAGATAAAAAAACAATATTTTTATAATTGTTTATAATTTAAATGAGTTATTTGGGTAGAGGAAAATTATTATTTGAAGTAAGAATTTTTGGGGTAGTAAATATATGTATATATATTAATAATAATAAATCTTATGTAATTTAAGTTATTTATTGGTGTGCATATTAAATTGTATCTATATGATTTGTAGATTATCCTGTACTTCGGAGTCTGTAATTTTGTGCTCTTATTTCTCAAGTTGTAAGGTTAAGCTTGGAGTAGAGGTAACCGGGGTTAATTTATTTTATATACATGCTTTGGATTGAAAGGTGTATGTTTTTATTTTCTCAAATTAATTTGTGAAAATATGCTTATGAATAAAGTATATTTTATTATATGACAAATTTTGGTGAAGTGAGAAGTATGTTGATTTAATTATGCTTGAGTTGTGTTTTATTGGAAATTATGTTTTCTTGTGGTACTGAATTTAATATACTAATATTATATTATTAAGTGAAATGAAAATGTTTTATACTTTGTTTGAAATTATATCATCTTACTTTGAAGATTATGATATTTTGATTTATATTGTGACTATGCATGAATGGGGTTCATATGTGGAGGATGGGATTTTGTTATGGGGAGGATAATTGTTCTTGAAGCTCGCGCGGCATGCCTACACTACGGATCCTAGTGTTTGGCCTTTTTGTTAGACCCCCTGTAGTCTTTCCTTTTCCTTGGCTCGGAATTGAGAACGAACTCTTGGGTAGACACATCTTGCGCCATAGTCCATTCTTGGACGGTGTAGGTACAGGAGGGGACTCGTTGCTTGATGTGAGTGGGGTGACCTTTGGCCGGGTTACTCAACACAGAAAGCCCGGGTCCTTGTCAAGGAGTCATAAGGAGGAGCAAGGTAATGGGAGGGCATATTTTATTGTGTTGTTGCATATATGTACTTTTATATGAATTGTGTTGTGGATGGGGAGATATACTCCTTTTACGTGATTGTATCTATTAAAGTATCATTTATTTCTTAAACTATATTTAAGCACTACTTCACCAACTTGCCATCCTACTTGTATATGTCATAAATTAATACTTGGTTACTGGGACTTTACGTCTCACCCTGCTATTCATCAATGCTTTTTAGGAGAGCCACCTAGTTTGGCTCGACGCGAAGGGAAGCAACCAGAGGCATAGGCAAGCATAGCCTAGTAGTCCTTTTTTGGTTTAAGCATGTAATGTTATGTATATTGCCATCTTAGGGCCCACGACTATATTGACATATACTCTCTTTTGTTTGGATGACTGTATTTGATGGAATTTTGTTAAAATAGGCTATAAAACTCTGCTGTATGCGATACTCTCATGTGTATGACTTGTGGGCTGGGTTGAGCACCCTGTGTTTCTTGTGCCCTAAGTCTTTGTGGGATGAATGTTATGTTGGGGTTGTGGACGGTTACTATACCCTGAGGCCTCGTCCTGCATTTTGTTAAACCCATGGCTGTTTTATATATCCTGAGCCTCTTGGAATGTTTTCGGAATAAGCCAAACTCTTTATAACCATGATAGTATTTTAACGCTCTAACTCAATTTTTTTTATACTATGGTTATCATTTCAAAAATGGTTTTATAATTATGTAATAAGAAGAGGTCGTTTTCATTACGCGCTTTGACCGTATTTCATTAAAGCTCTTAGCTTAAGATGCAAAATAGCATTACGAATATTCATCGGGGACTAATTGCAAGATCGATCAATATAATCAATCATCCCACATTGAAAGCACAGACGAAACACAGGTTCATAACTAACATTCCGGCCAAATCCTGCGCAAAAGTTTTAACCTTATACATAAATAAGTAACTGAAGGTAAAGATGGATCAACAAGCACTTGAATCCTCATCAAATGAACATTATAAGATGAGGACTACATAAAGTCAAACTTTCTAAATTTTCCCAAAACATTTCAACAACTTGTGCTGTGGTAAAAGTAAAATAAATAGGAGGAAGACCCTAAACCTAAACCCACAAAGCTATTCGTGTAAGTTGATCTTTATCCAAAAACAAATTAGTGCACCACGGACGTATTTCCATCAAGTTGTTTTCAACAGACCAGGGACCATGTAGCAAGATATATTCTCCGTCCACATCCTTTTCAAACCATATATAACAGGCATTCCCAAAGTTTACAGTGATATGAAATTCACCCTTTAAATGCCATGCATGTTCCAATGCAGATCTTATCTTCTCAATATCCAGTACTTTAATATCAATAAGATAACCAATCAAACACTGATGCCAGAAACCATCAACTTTTGCATTCGGTAACTAATCGACAGCTATAGCAGTTCCTTACATGACATACTGATATTGAACAAAAATGCATTGGGGTGATGCAATCTAAATGACTATAGTCCAGTAGTCGAAAGGATCACTAGCTTATGATCTGACCTGAATAACATAGGCATATAGGATCACGTGTGAATAAGCAAGGACCACCTTGCAAGGCTAAATACTCCTGGTTGATCAATAGTAAAGTAGCATTGTGAGGGAAGGGTGAAAAGAACCCCATCGGGGAGTAAAATAGAAACATGAAACTGTAAGCTCCTAAGTAGTGGGAGTTGAAGTATCTATGGTTTAACTTTTCATTTGATGATTGTTAGCAAACGGAAAAAAAAAAAAGACCTTCTACTTTGATACCTAAAAAATCAACAGAAAGTTTCTGTTTGAAAATTATACGGTAGAGGTGCATCTAGCACTTTGATCCTATTTTCTAGGTGCATTTAGAACCCTGATTTTATTTTTCAGATGCAACCAGCACCCTAATCTTATTTTGTTTAGTTACATCTAATGTCATCGGGGTGGTGCATGCACTAGAAAAATAAAATCTGAGTAATGAATGCATTATTAAAAAAATAAAATCAGAGTGTTGGATGCACTTTTATCCAAATTTTATTTGGTTAGAAATGTAGAGAAATTACTTGTACTCTTTAGATTTTTATACCTTTTTCATATGGGATAAGGCGCTAAATTACCTGGAAGTGTACACGAAGGAACAATAGGCACCTAGAATTGTTTTAGCTCTTATATATCTTGGAAGTTTTAATAGCATTTTTGCCTTGAATTGTTATCCTCCGTTAACTTTGACTGTCAAAGACACTGATTAAACCACATAATTTAACATTTAAACTTAACGGCAGATAACAACCAGGTATTTTTGCTATGAAAATAAACTTCCATGGCATATATGAGCAGAAAAAATTTTCAAGTGCTGGGTGCTTATTTGTGTATACTTTCGTGGTATTTAAGCATTTTATCCCTTTTCATATTTCAAGTTTTTCTAATTAATAAAATTTTCAAAAGAAAAAATTTCACTAATTTTTACAAAAACACATAAATGTCTCCCTAATATTCCCACCATCTAATCTCAGTTATTTCATGGATTGAAAAATAGCGAATGAAAAATTTATAAAAATTACTTTTCAACAAGAAAGTCCCAGCTAAGATGCTATTTCTGAAATTACTTAGTTAAATCTAAGATGTAATTAAAAAGAAAAGAAAATAAACCCATCGATCACTTTAAATTTTATTAATTAACCATACTTACTAAATGACCATTAAATTTCTGAAATAACTCGTAGTAATACGAAGTGTTACATATTATGCATTTGCTGTGAAAATACAAGTGAACTCGAAACAAGTGGCATCAAAAGGAAAAAAAAAAATACAATAGATGAAGAGAAAAATAGATTAAGGTAAAAAAGAAGAAGATAAAAATAGATAAAACCCGCCTTATGGGATGTTCATTGTTTCGTGGGAAAATAAAATATCTTTAGGAAAATGCCACGCAAGACCGGTTTATCAACATCATGAAATGTCTCTCAAGTGATCAAATTCAAACCACGAACCGTCCCTGCACTTTCTGGATAAGATTCAGAACAAGAATCCCCCAACTCAAATCAGAACCTGAAATCCCACCCTCAAGTTAACCATGAAAACCCTGATTTTCGCATCAAACCCAATTCTCCATCTCTCAGAACCTCCCATCAGAAAACCCAAAACCCAAACTTTTCAACCCAGCATCACCACCACCATACTCAAGGACAAATTCAAGTCGCACGCAAATGCGAAAGGCTTTTCAGCTTCAAACGGATCGATCGGATCGACAAACAAGAAGGCGAACGAGGAAAACAACAAGAAGAAGAACGACGATAACGATGAAATACCTCAAGAAGTATACAACAGAATGATAGTGAGAATCTTAGTTTCAGTGGGGCTTCCAATGGGGTTGGGTCTGGCATTTCTTCAAATATTTGGTGTGCTAAAGGAGAAACAACTCTGGGATGTGCCTCTATGGCTTCCGTTCAACAACAACTCTGTTAACATTGGAGCTTCAGCTCTTGGAATAGCTTAGGATCATTGTCCACTAGTTTTGATGCA